TATTTATCTGATGTTCTTCTTTTAACATTTTTAGTTGATACGCGTGCAGTCGGCAGAAGGCCTCAAACGTATCGAGATTTCACCGAAAGCCAATTTAAAAGAACTCTTCGAAACGGTACAACAAACTCTGAAAGTTGATGGCTTCGGACTTTTCAAGGAACGCAATTTCCTTACAGAAGTAGGTTATATAAAATAACTTTAAAATTAGGAATTAAACTAACAGACTTGATATTTTTCAGTTGCATTCTAGTCATTCGCAGAAAGTGGGCTCTTGCCTAAAACATGGCGACATGCTATTCTTAAAGAAAATAGCTGGTACTTCAATACGTGTAAGTGCCCTAACCAAATTCTAAGATCGCAGATCTAGTACAACTGTATAGCCTTTTTGAAATATTTACTTAAAAAATGTATACTTAAATTGTTACTCTTTCTACTTTTCCCTCCAGCGCACCAGCACTACAGCTATAGATGATTTTGAAACTACCAGCACCAGCCGACCGCCAGCACGTAGCAGCAAACAATTTCAGCCTTCCACTGCAGTAGCAGAGGATGAAGTGGATCAAACGCTGTCGAAGATGGATGGCTTAATAGAGCGCGCACGCGATCCAAAAGCGTAAGTTGTATTATAAATGTGTTGTTTGGTTAAACTCCTAAAATTATCTGTTTTCCTTTGTTAGTTGCCGCCACAATGCTAATGGTCGTTGTGTTCATTGTACACCAATCGAACCGTATGATGATAACTATCTGAAGGAGCAAAAAATCAAGCATTTGTCCTTCCATTCGTATATACGCAAGCAGAAGTCAGGCATTGATGGCGGCAAGTATGTCGCTTTTGATGATATCAATTGCCGTATTAAGTCTGGTTGTCGTGAGCATCCACCATGGCCCAAAGGTATCTGTTCCAAATGTCAGCCATCGGCTGTTACACTGAATCGCCAAATTTATCGACACGTTGATAATATTATGTTCGAGAATCCAACTATAGTGGAGCGTTTTCTCGACTATTGGCGTACTACAGCCCATCAAAGAATGGGTTTTCTTTATGGCACTTATGAAGTCCATGCTGATGTACCACTTGGTATACGTGCTACTGTTGCAGCCATTTACGAGCCGCCGCAAGAATCAACACGTGATTCTATTAGATTGCTGGATGATGAAGCGGCTGCCGAGGTGGATGAATTAGCACATGCATTGGGTTTGAAAAAGGTCAGCGCCAATTGGCTTTATATTTCGTAAACAATATTAAGTTTTCTCCATTTAAATTAAAGGTTGGTTGGATATTTACTGATCTCATTACTGATGATCCAGCTGTTGGCAGTGTAAAGCAATTGCGCGGCATTGAGACGCATTTCCTCACTGCGCAAGAATGCATTACAGCCGGAGAATTGCAAAACCGTCATCCGAATCCATGTAAATATGCTTCGAGTGGTTATTTTGGTTCGAAATTTGTTACTGTCTGTGTAACAGGTACGTATAACTTGCATTTAAAATTATAAAACATCCTAACTATTGTTTCGTTATTGCTTTTAGGCGACAGCAGTAAGCAAGTGCATACAGAGGGTTATGCTGTTTCAGCCCAATGTATGGCCTTAGTGCGTGACAATTGTTTAATACCCACTAAGGATGCACCCGAATTGGGTTACGTACGCGAATCAACGGATAAACAATACGTTCCGGATGTTTACTATAAGGTAAGTGCTTCTTTAAAAGTGAAACGCATTATGTGGGAAGCCTTAAATGAAAATCATCCTCGTGAAAATACTTAAAACTAGTAAAAAACATTATGTTTTAACACTTGGGTAATAAGAACACACATAACCTAACTAATACTTAAAACAAAATCTTGTTTACATGTGTTATAAGGATTCTGATATTTATTCAAAAGTCATCGATGGGAAAGTAACTATCGTCGTGCTAAAAATTTCAGATAACATAATTTTCTTAGACCAACTGTTATGAATTGGTTGCAGTCCATTCCATTCTATGATCCCATATGCGATCTACTGGTCTTCATGAGGCGGTGGCATTAATTGTTTCTGTGAATGCCGTTATCAATATCCAATCATCTGTGGATGAAAGTTAGCTTCAACTGCCCCGAGAGACCCGTATAACTCTGGTCCAGTTAAGGTCTGTATTTTGTACCCGTCTCAACTCCTACCTATACAGACCTGATGCCAACAACCCCAATGAGTGTTGAGTGTGGAGGTTCCTCTCGCGACACCAACCACCTCTTCGAACACAACTAACACACACTTTCGTTTGAAAACTTAAATAATACATATGAGAAAAATGAAGTAATGCATACATGTACAGTTTCGACTCAAAACCGAAGTAATGTATACAAGAAAAACGAAATAATGCAGTTTAGGTTACAACACGAACCTACGCATATTAAATGTTATTCCGTTTACAGCATCAGCTCGGTGTGAAATTTAAGATACTTACTGATACTCATAAAACTTTTTCGAGCCTCAAATGCAACTAAAATCTCTCCGAGCTGGTATATAAACAATAACATTTCACTTTCTGTTCTAAGTTCGCATTGAAAACGCATCTTCAAGCTATAAATGCACGAATGCGAGTCACATCCTAAAACCTAATTTTATCTCTAATGGCGGTGTCCTTTTGAGTAATATATTTTCACACAATTTAGGCGAAGTCTATCGAAATTCCAAACATTTACCTTTGAAGATAATCAGCATTGTAGGTTAACAAAGATTGCGAAGCATGCTCTTTTGAAGCATTCTAACTACATTTTTTTCCTATAGACTCATCTGATTCTTCTATGTTTAGGTCAATCATTAATTTTTCTGTCTGGCTTTCTGTATGTACATACCGAGTTTTTGGGCTGTGCTCTGGTATTTATGTTTGATTTGACCAACCGACTTTGGTCCCATTTCTGGGTCTATTGAAGCGGAGGCCGCCTCTATTCTAGCTAAGCCGTCAGATTCCTTTGTATCCCTTAGTGACCTGACACTCACAGTAGTTGTATGTTATTCTAATCAGCTAGGGAATTCAGTTCCTAAGGATGATTTAACCTCGAAGGATGATAGTCCTCAAATGCCGCCTTGCTGTCGCTAAGGATTAGAATTTGCTCATTACGCTTACCTCTATGTAAGTAGCTTCCTTCTGGGACCATAAATAGCCACCACAATGCCTTCTGATATTTTGGAGTCGTCTGTGTGCACGCCGCTACTTGTTGGAGTTGCTCCAGGTCGCCTTGCTTTAGAGCTCTGTTTTGAATTTGGGGTAGAGGGCTAGTGGGAGCTGGGATCCTAGTTTCTCCATATTCCTAGTTTATAGGACCTTATCTCTCCCAGTTCTCTTGTAAAGTTTAAGAGAGTACGCTTGGCTTCCTTGGTTCTATGGTGATATACAGTGGCTCAAGTTCAAGACCTATCTAGAGTGCACGCAATGCCACTGTGATACAACCACACATCAGTTTGGTGAGATACTATTTCACCGTGGCTAAGGCGGCTCTCGCAGCCCAAGTTACTACCCCATAGGTCACTAGGAGTCATACTTACATAGTTTACATCTATACTTATTAGGCTTTTGGGGCTCCACCCCTAAGGTTGGCTAGCTTAGCGCCTGCACACCATTAGTGACCTCATAGCTTTTGTTGTTGTGGTGTCTACGTTAAATTTCCACATCAGCCTAAAGTCGAGGATTAGACCCAGATCCTTAGCCTCCTCGGATACCTTAACTCCGAACTCACCCACCACTCACCCAGGATTATATTCCTCGTACTTAGGAGGCTCCTTCTACTTGTGAAGGATACGATGGGCGTCTCGGGGGGATTAATATCAACCATTGATGTAAAAAACCCCTAAGTTTACACCTCTTTGTATTCTATCGGTAAATGTTGATTTGAACTTTACTCTGGAAATGATTACTATGTCATACGCATACTCCTACTGCCAAGTCCAACAGAAGTGGTGACAGTATCCCTCCTTTCGGGTATCCTTTTGTTCTTTGCAATGATACCATACTATTCCCCATATCGGTTTCAGCAATCCTTGAGGGAGGCTCCCAATACGATGGAAAGACCAAGTGGAGAAGGACTTGCCTTCACTTGGCTTTTCCAATTGGCACAGACGAGTAACCACTGGCGTGGTTTGTTGAAGTCGGCCAAAATCGCTTAGGCGGGTACAGCGCCAAATAAGAAGATGAAGAAGTCTCTTCTCCCAACTTTAGGAATGAAAACTAAACGCGCTTCTCTCCACACTTCTAGAATGTAGGTGTAGGTGTGGCAGTATCAGTCTCACGCCCTGCTTCAACGCCACTATCTTATGCCATCTATCCCATGGGATTTGTATCGATCGAGCGAGTCTAAAGTCCATCCGACCGATCGCCCAGTGAACAGATCCTTTGTCATCGCCCAGTCTGGTGGGGAAAGTCTGTACTCTTGAACTTCAGCTCTCTGTTAACCGAGAATGACATCTGGACTCACTGTTTAGGAACCATTTGGTGTCCAAATTGCTTGTCTAGTAACTGTTGTTTCTCTTGCTAAGACTTTGTGCAGCCTTGCTGCTGCAGGAGTAGATGAGATATCCTCACAGAACGTTCTAAAGCTGCTCCGTTTGGCCTTTTTAATCTTCTTTTATATATTCCGTCAGACTAGCTGTGTACTTGACTCTGTGTACGGTTGACCTTATTGAAGACCCTGCGCACCCTTTTCCTGAGTGCTGACAGTTCCCGAGACCACCAGCCAGTTTTACTTTTACCACTTGGGTCGGGTTCGGGACAACTGGAGTTAAAGTCGTATATAATCGCAGTAAGCCCATGTCACCCTAAAAATGATTACATTCAAATGCTGGTGCAGGTTAGACATTTTTTGTAATTGTTTTGAATCTACTGACGAGGTTCCGTCATCTCTTTCAATATCTAGTTTAGATAAAAACCGGGTTCAACCGGCAATTAAAGTTGTTGCACCGAAATTCTTTCTTAAACATTTATACATTACTCGCTACTCGTGCTCAACAGCAGGGAACACGGTTGTCACTAAGCCACTCACGAGTGATTCACAGGCCGGAATACAGTCGAAACTGGCTCCAGACAAGGAGGAGTTTCAGGAGTTGACTGATGCCAAATTTCGATAAAAAAAATTGTCCTCGGGGTACGTTAAAAATGCCGTGTAAAAGGGGATCAACTTTACGCTGTTCTGTCACCTGGAACGCAATGTGTGGGGCACGGCGAGTTGACATGTTAGTCACGTAGCTTCAAGGAACCGAAGGATAGCCTTGGGTGCTTTTCTTGCTCTGGCGTGTTGCACGAGTTGTAGGCCGGGAATACGGAGGGTGACGGCCGCATACTTGTGGTCCGGTTCGTATGTGACCCCAAACCAAAACAGCTGTAGAATTCTGGGTGCGCCCAAAAGCATGGAACATAGCCGATAGTGAGGCGGCGTGCCTTATGTGAAGGTCTATGGGAAATAGGTGTATAATAACATTGAGGGCATCAGTAGGGCAAGATATCATCGCCCTTGTGGTCCTGACCCATGCAGCCTTCTGAACTCTGCCTAGTTTCACATAATTATACTGGTCCACCATACCAGAGAACCGTAGCATAAGATCGGACGTACAACCACTGCGTACGGGTACATCCATAGAACCACTTTTGGATTGAGACCCCATGTCTTCCCAAAAAGCCGCAAAAGGTCAGTGCGAGGTGCAACGCTGTTGAAAAGTATTGATCCAGAGCCGAAAAAGGATTGGTAAAGTTTGCCGATTAAAGCAGGGTTAGATCATCGAAACAACAGCTATCAGTGCTAATATCCTATTAATTGTTGCTGGTAGAATTGAATCCTGGCATCGGTTGTTGTTGTAGCGGCTACAATAACCCCGCTCAGATCGGTTGATATCTCAGTGGTTGTCGTCGAGTCATGAGCTGTCTACCCGCATGCCGGACACTCATTTCGCATTTAATCTGCTTAGGTATGAGTTTAACCTGCTACAGTAGCCACAGAGCAAAGCTGGGCTATTGTGGTTCTTGTCTCCCGAGGCATATGAAGCTCCGTCTCGTCGATGTGCGGTGGCTGTGTGCCTAGAACGGCATTCACAGGCCTGGTGTCTACATAACTCGAGACTGACTCCCTGTAAATGCCTCTCAAGGCCTGTCGATAAGCTGACGGGTCCAGAGGCTGTTTTATCAACCTCTGGACTTCATCCGTCAGTTCGTGGAGATGCCTCCTGACATGCCTGGGCGAGGGCTCTTCTGCAAGCAGATGTCTATTTGGGTGGCCACGTCAATGGCTCGCAACAAGAAACTGCTTGCAGAGCATTGTTTTATGCTCCTTTATCGGGAGCATTTTCGCCTCGTCGTGCAGGTGGTGTTCTGGCGACATCAGAAGGCTTCCAGTCGCTGTCCGTAGTGCGGTGTTCTGCGTCGTCTGCAGATTCATCCACTGCTTCTTACTAGTCCCCGGCGACCACACTGGTGCTGCGTAACTTAAAACCGGCCGGCCTATTGCCTCGTATGTTGCCAGCAACGTTTCTTTGCCTTTGCCTCAAGTACTGCCGGCTAGCGACTTGAGGACCTTGTTGCGGCTATGTACTTTGTTGACAATAGTGGTTGCTTGCGCAGAGAAGGCGAGTAGACTCTCTAAGGTTACTCCGAATATTTTGGGGCTATTCACCGTCGGAATTGGTTATCATCGACGTGAATTCTCAGCGGTAGCCTCACCTCCTTT